GGGCGGGCAGGTGGGCGGGCAGGTGGGCGGCGTCGGGGCGCTGAGTTTAGGAAGAAACGGCCTCGGCAGCAGAAGGCTGCCGGCAGGTGCCGCTTCCGGGAGCCGCAGACCCGAGGAGAATTCTGGGCTAAAGCCCCTGAGGTCGCCGGGCACCCGGCGGGGAGGCCACGCTCCGGCCGCCGTTGCAGAGCAGCCTCGAGGCCGAGACCCCCGCCCAGCCGGCTGACCCGGCCCCTGCTGGACCTGCGTGAGCGAATCGAGCTGTCTCCAGGTCACAAGCGTCAGACTGTGGCCAGGACTCCGGTGGAGCACTGACGCCGGCTGGAACCGACCCGCTCTGGGCCCCTTCCCGGCCGGGGACGGCTCTGCCCATGCTGACCATCCCGGCCACCAGCCCCTGCAGTGGGCAGCGGGCGGGCGTGAGACAGGCCCGGCCGCGCTCGGGTCTCGCCAGGAAACCGCCGGGACCGCCATGTGGGGGCGACTCACGGCCGCAGAGGGGTGGCGCCGCGGACCGGAGCCCGTGGCCCGTCCACCGTGACCGAGGCCGCGTGGCCAGTTCGCCGTGCCCACGCCTGCGGCACTCATGCCGTGGGCTGCTGTGTCTTGGGGGACTCGTGCCAGCGCAGCCTGCAGCCCACTGCCCGGCCGCCCCGCAGCGCCCCTCTCAGGTGCCGGACGTGCAGGTCAGCACCTGGCCGCTGCCAGGCCTGTCCTCGCTGGGGTCCCTGGCCGCTGCAGGCCCATGGCGTCGCGGTCACTCGAGAGAGACACTGTGCTCCTGGGCACCGAGCAAGCGAGAGGGCGGAGCTGGAACTCTGGGTCTTGTCTCTGGACAGTGAAGGGCACAGGCACTCTGGGCTCCCGAAGTCACTTTATTGGACAGGCTGAATTTCACATCTACCGGAGACACCCCAAACCACACACGTGCACAGCGTGACAGATGCCGCCACAGCACAGACCCCCAGGGCCCGCCGAGGCCAGGGCCGGGCCGCGAGGCCGGCCCCGCTG